CCCAATATTAGTTTTTATCTGACAGGAAGAGGTCTTTCCAGAGGCTTTTGGTGTCATTGTCATGATAGCACACTTTAGACAGTGTTAGAAATATCTTCATGCAGCCACAATTTGAGACAAGCTAGTCATCTTACAGTGCAGGTACGGAGATTAATTGTTGCATATGTATAAATAGATATGTATATATCTATGACAATGCTCGAGGTAAGATATATATATATATATATATATAGTCTAATTAGTCATTAGATGTCAAGGCGCAGAAAGTGATTCAACCAGGCTCAATAATATAACCTTATTAAAGTAAAGAGAGAGAGAAAATGATAGACAATGTCTTGTTTATCTTTTAGTGCTGCCTGTTTTTTCTGGATAAGAACAAAATGTGTACTGGTCAAGCAGGCTGACACATCAGAGGAGGCTCACAGGATAAAAGAATAGGACAGTAAACTGTGGGAGAAATTACTTAAATTACTAAAAATGAACTTCCTGTTCTTTCTAAGTTCAGGGTGTGGTAATAATAAGAACACCTCTTAGTCAGATAACCACAATGATTGCACGTTACTGTCAGTTATCACACAGATAACCTCGACTCTCACACTGCAAAGACAAATCTCGTAACTCCAGATTAAACACTGGGTTACCATGCAGACATGGCAAATCCCAGCAGGAGAATATATAATAATAATAATAATAATAATAATAATAATAATAATAATAATAATAATTGATGGTTGCAAAATTGATCTTATTTTCATTTGATGCCAATAAAAATGAGGTTCCTGCACAGATTAACACTGCTATCGCATCTTACTTCCACAGAAGAAATATGACACTCTGGACTTTCCCTGTGCGTCAGTTACAGACATGTAAAATGTTACTGTGGTCTGTTCGAACAATTGAAAATTGAAAAATATTCTGCAGACACTTTGCTCTTGTTGAACATGCATGTTCACATTGCTGTTGCTATTAAAGGTTACACTGTGTTAGTCTGATACTGGCTGAGCTTTCTCTGAATATACAGGAACCCCGTCTGTGTCCTTTCTCACCTTAATCTTTCTGAAATTGAAGAAATGAATTGTTACAATTTATAAGTTGACATTTTTCCCATTCCTGCTGTAAGTAAGATTTGACCTGCGTAACAGTCTGTGGTCACTGCTGTCTGATCCTCCTCTTCATGAGGGTGATGGGAGCAAATATCTGCCGTGTAAGCCTCAAGCATGTGCTTTTGGATTTCAGAAATGAAATAGTTAATACAAAAGCTAATCCAATAGTTAATGCAATGGCTAATCAGTGAGCTAACATGAGTTTTCAAATGAAGAGTGGAATCACCATTTTAAATGTCAGAAATAAATCTTTGATTTTTGAAACCATTTACTTATTCATCTTTTTTTTAAATTGTGTTTTAAAAATAATTTTGAATATCTTTTTTATATATATATATATTTATATATATATAATATTTAAATGAATTAATTAATTAATTTGCAAATGCAGAATTTATTGTACAATTCATTATTTAAGGACAGAATTTTGACGTGTGCGGCTCTTGTGGTCCTCCATATAAATGCAATTTTTCCTCGATACTTCTTGTTCAGTATGTTTAAAGAGAAGAATTGCCTTTACCTCCTCAATAAATTGATTGTTGTGCGTGATTTGCATGTTGGGGTGACGCACACTGCACAGTTTTATTTAAATCCAGCCACCAGGTGGCAGCAGGTCTACTTTTGTGGGAAAAACAGAGCATACAAGGAAACACCTAAACGCTGTTTAACTCTAAACGCACTTTATGTTCATGTGTTAAGACGCGCTACAAAACGACAGAAAATACACACAAGTACGGATTTTGGTGTTTAGATTTATTTCTATCTTCTATTCTTGGTGAAGTGGAGACTCTGCCTGGGTTACAGGAAAAGTGAAAGTAGAACATACACTTTGCTTTCTGTTACAGCACAAAGAGAGTCCGACATTTACGGGTTTGGATTCTGGGGATGTTATTATAAACATAATTACCACATCTACACTCACAAACATAAGAGAACTGTGACTCAGGACTTCCTCTGTGTGTCTATCAGTCAAGTTTCCACACAGCAGCTGCTGCATTAGACAAAGTAAAAAAAAAATGGCCTCGCTTCTCTTCATTAAATACGATGGAACGAGGAAAACCTCTGCTCTCTTTTGAAACCATGGTGAAGGTTTTAGAGAACCTCGGATTACCTTCAAAGTACAGATATTCTGTGTTAAACCTTTGGTTTGCGGTCCTTTTTGTGTTAGAGGAAAAACCTGTTTGACTCTAAACTACCTGAATATGATTTCATATTTAGAAATTTTACATTTCTTGGTTATTTGTAAGCCAGTATATGATTAATATGAAGCCTGATTTACAAGCCAGTCTTTACTGAGTTCGAGTAAACATAGTTTCTTTATGAATGTATGTTCGGATAATGACCTATGCGCCTGTTTTCAGCTTGGTGCTGCGTGACATACAGCAGGATCACAGCGAGAGAGACGTTTATTGGCTGTGGGGTTAGGCAGAAAAAAAGACTGTCGTCGGTCTGTTTTTTCTTTCCTGTTTCTTTCCCTTAGGCACCATGTTTACAGAACAGACTGCTCACACAAACTGAAAAACAACCAAACTAAGTAAAATAATTAAACCAGAGAACAAAAGAAAAACGACCGGGCAGCTTTAACTTACAGATCACAGTCTAACACTAACAAACAAGGAAACAGCTCTGCGGTCGGTCGCGCCCTGAGAGTAAAGTCGCTGTAACAACGACGCACAAAATAAACACAAAATGAACTCATAGACACGGATCATTCAAAGACAGTTAAGAGAATTTAGCTGCTCTCTAACTGATTAAAATCAACACCTCAGGCAAAACTTCTACTCCCCGCATACTCTTTAAAAGTGAAACTTCGGCGCTGCTCAAGGGGATTTTTATTTTTATTCTCTTCATGTAAAACATAGCGAAGTCAACTCCACCACAGCTGTGTGGACAGTGAAAGTACAGACTGTCACCTTTATCTGTCTGACTGGCGTCAAAACGTTCCCTTTGTTAAGTTTCTCCCTTAATAAGCGTGGGGTGTGAAACAAGTCTTTCATTTCTAAAGTTTTACATAACAGGATATACAGGTCCTTCTAAAAAAAAAAAGCATATTGTGATAAAGTTCATTATTTCCTGTAATGTACTGATAAACATTAGACTTTCATATATTTTAGTTTTTAATTATTTTAAATTAATTTAATTTAATTTTTTGAGATAGGAATTTTGGGTTTTCATGAGTTATGTATGCCAAAATCATCAATATTAAAACAATGAAAGGCTTGAACTACTTCAGTTGTGTGTAATGAAATATATGAAAGTCTAATGTTTATCAGTACATTACAGGAAATAATGAACTTTATCACAATATGCTAATTTTTTGAGAAGGACCTGTACTTAAACACGTTTCAGTTCATCGCGTCAGCAGGTCTTAAATTGTGTCCGTACGAGCTCAGATGAAAATAAACACATGATGTCTGTGCGCACAACTGTGCATCAGAAGTGTTTCAGCTGTGGTCACAAGCCTGAAATGAAAGGTAAAAAGTCTTCACTGAGATAATCATTGAGTCTCAAACTGCCGGAGTTACTGGTGAACTTGCACAACAGTCAGTCAAGTCTAATCACTGTTTCACGAAACAGAGGAGCAACCAGCACCAGGGCGTGTTTGTAATATTCATGGATACACAATTGATGTTCATTTGATGCGAAGAAATATGATTCCTGCTCAGACTAGCACCAATGTCCCGTGGTGTCAGAGTACTCTGGCCCTGCAGGGGTAAACACTCAGGAATTTGCTTGTGGGTGTGGCAACAGAGAAGGAACAATTCTGAGCACAAACTTTGAACCATTGCTGCTAAAGAGAAAACTCAGTGTGAGTTGCAGCAGAGTGTGAAATGCCTACAAACCACAAACTCTGCATGAATTTCCCCGTTTCTGTGCAGCCTGAACACAGAACAGGGCAGGCCAGATATTTAATTTATGACTCTTAATCACACAGTTAAACACATTTGGTTTAGTTATATTCTTTTAATCTTTGAGTCAGCATATTCAAATTAGCTCTTGTTTCTGCTTCCTTACACACAGTCAGTCTTTGAAAAACTGTGAACCACATTTAAACAGACTCACTGAGTTACTATCAGTCAAAAGACTGTTAATGAATCACACACATCACACAGAATATCACATGCCATTCAGTTTTAACTTCTTCAGGCAGGTTTATGGGCAAAAATCTGTGCCATCAGAAACTGAATTTGAATAAGTTAAATTCGAATTTGAATCGCTAGGATTGAATCTGAATTGTAACTTGCTTTTAAAAACTGAATATGAATTAGCCTAATTTGAAATTCAATTTATTGGTTTGAAAATGATCATCACTAAACTAAAATTGAATTTTATGTTTTGAAAATAAATTCATTTGCTTTGAAACTGTATTTTATCCTTTAAAAATTTAGCTCTCAAATAATTTCAGATTCTCCTCTCTCTCTCTCTCTAGGTCACAGCCAGAGGCGGAGGCAGACACAGACTCACAGCTGCTGTTCATTGGCTTCGTTCGACAAGAGTCGCAAGAGAGGAAGAGGCGGAGAGAGCGGGCAAACAGCCAACTCAAACTGTAGGAGTATAAAATGTGAGCTGAACGGAAAAAACAGTCTCAGTGTTTCTCATGTGTCTTTAGATACGCATAGTTTATTGAACCTTTCAATTCTATTTGGAATATTTAGCCTTAAGAAAGCTGTGATTGACTCTAGCCCTCCGTGATCCTGAATTGGATAAGCAAAAGAGAATGGACTCTAAGGACAATGGACGGAGATTAATAATGAGGTATATTGAGTTTTTAATCTGTTATCTTTCCTTTTTTATCATTTATTTTAGCTCATTAGATTAAGATAGTACATTTCCACTAAATATGACTGAAAACACATAGGGGTATGATCCGGTCTTTAGTGATTGCGTCAGCCTTGACTTCCAGCTTGTCGGTAGTGCACACACCCAGGCCTTTATGCAGGGGCGACCCCTTGTGGCAAGAATGAAGTTATTACTGTAAAGAGGTTTGGCAACATTTTTTGTGATCACCAAGTGGGTGTAAACGGTCTGCATTTACGTTGTACGCCTGCATGCGGCTCTGACGCACATATGTTGCTGCTTTAACACCCGGAACAACATAAGAAAGAAGATCTACAGCCCTTTCTCATTTCTCAAGTACGGACACGCGATTTGTACATCTGGAACAGCAGTGTACTTGATGGCCAAAGGAGCTTGCAAAGCTCTGCAAGCGTCTGGACTTCTTTAAGTTACTTGAAGACGTTTCACCTCTCATCCGAGAAGCTTCTTCAGTTCTAAAGTCAAATGGTGGAGAGTCCCAGATATAAACCTAGTGGGAGTGTCCCCCCACAGAGGGACAAAAGGACCCCCCTCCCTCTGTGGGGGGACACTCCCACTAGGTTGTGAGAGTGTCATCTACGATGACCTGGATGACTGAGAACCTTCACAGACAGTGTACTTGATGATCGCACGGAGTTCATTCACGGAGCCGCCCTTTCTTAATTTAGTGAGAAAAAATCCGGGATTTTTTTTTTTTGGCGTTCTTTGCTGGGTTGGTACTTTTAATTAGAACAGCACTTGGTCTCCGACTGATCAGGGTATCACGAATTCACCAGAACCAAAGTGCACAGACGTACGCAATTTTGAGACAGGGCACGGGAGGATCGACATGGGCATCCTGACTTTATTTCTTAAACTTGTCTGGCTTATATTCTTCTTCTATTCGCATGTTTCTGCCTCCAAAGGTGAGCTTTGCAGGAATTCACACGTTTTATATGCTGTCGAACACTTTGGTTGTTGTACTTACTACAATTCACGCAGCTTGAATTAGCAGTTCGGCTAAACTGACGTTAACACTGGTTAAACACGAGTGTTTAGGTGTAAACCTTATCAACCTTACTTTTAAATGATATACTTAAAGACCGAATTCACCCAGGAGAAAAAAAAATGCACGCAAGTCGCCTAAAACGCTAGGAAGGTTACGTTAGCAGGAAGTTACCTTGTTGGCTATAAGTGCAGGAAAAACATGCTGAAAATTGACCAAAATTAAGGCAAGAGAAGACCCGAGATGATCTATCCACCACACAAAGTTAGTCATTAATGTACTGCTGCATGGTTTAGATTACTGCAATAAAAAGTGATCGTTTTTGGCAAATCGAGAAACGCTGGGCTGTGGTTGCATCTTAATGCAACTTTGGAACAATCTCTGTTGGCTGGCCTGGGAACGTCTTGGTATTCCCCCTGAAGCCAGACCTACATCTAAATCTCCTTCATGTTCTTCTTTGTTTTATCCTCAGTTATTTTATACAAAGTGACGTTTATACCTCTAATGAAAACTCACAAGTGTGAGCTTTGCTTTCATACATGCGTATAAAACTATGGGCATGTACTGATAAGTGAATAGTGATAAGTCAATTGAAATAGATACCCACACCTAGTCACAACACGTCAAACTGTGACCTTAGCTCTAACCACAATCATATTCTGACCCCAAAACCAGATCAGCACAGTCTCTTGGATTATTCTTCAGCATTGTAGCATTGCAGTGATTCCTTTTGTCAGAAATAATCAGAGAAAACACTGGCATGGTCCAGCTTTATGATGCGTCACACTTTTGAACCTGTTTCCTGAACTCCTTGGTTCAAATCTCCAGTGGGGCAAAAACACAAGGCAAAGAGTGCCATGAGTTTGTGATAACAAACATCAGATTGCAATAGATTTTAGCATCCGATGTCCTGTACTGCATTTAGTAAAGTGACCAGTCATGTCTTTTGCTTTCTTTCTTTATTTCATTCATATATTTTTTTTTTTTTGTACCTTTTCTCATTTATTGTTGCTATAGAAATGAGTAATTGTACCATTTTACCTATCTGCTCTATTTCAGACACCAAAATCATCCCAGCTCAGTCTGGACAGAACATCACTCTGCCATGTCGAGCGCCAAACAACAACATCATAGTTGTAGAGTGGAGCAGAGCTGACCTGGGAGATGAATATGTCCTTTTGTATCGAGATGAGCAGTTTGATCCAGAAAACCAGCATCCATCTTTTAAGAACCGGGTGGATCTGCAGGACAGACAGATGAAGGATGGAGACGTGTCTTTGATTCTGAAGAATGTGACGATTAATGATAGTGGAAACTATGAGTGTCGTGTCTTCATGAAAAGATCAAACCGCAGGAAGAGAGCTCATCTGAAGACTAACCCCATCAGCATCATCTACCTGAGTGTTGTTGATCCTCCAGGTGAGTGAGTAGAGTTGAGTGTGTGTGTGATCAGAGGTGAAGCTGCTTCCTGGTTGTTGATGTTTGTTTCTAAAGATGTCTCACACCTGTTTCTCACCTGCAGCTCAGACAGGAGGACACACAGAGGATGGAGGGAAGGAGGATCCAGTCAGTACAGGACGTTCTGCTCTGGTAGCTGGTCTGTCAGTCTTTGGTGTCATTTGTGGTGTTGTCGCTGCTTTTTTGATCATTTGAAAAATGAAAAAGTCATATTGGTTTGAACAAAAGCCAGTCTGAAACAAAGCTTGTTGCAACACTTTTTTTGTGTTTGTTTTCTTTTTTGGCGGAATAGTAGGGAGGAAGATTTGAAGAAGATGCACAAATCTAATTATAAATAATATGAAAGTAGCAGCAGGGCTGTGCGATATGACCAACATCTGATATCCTGATATAAACATTTCTCATCCCGATAATGATGTATATCACAAAATCTTGTATTTTCAAGATCTCAGGCAACTCTACCTGCGTGAAGTGCTTTCAGCTGGGCATTATGTACCTGGAGTCGAGTGTTTTCACCGATCTTGAAGCTACACATTTTTAGACATTCAAATTCTAACATCCGCCTTTTTCTTTGAGTATTTATTACATTGCGTGCTCCGGGGAAAAGCCCGTTCTAACGTTTTAGTCTCAGGTTATTTTTAGCACCTGATGGCTAAAAGACCTTTTTTTTTTTTTTTTCTCCCATCTGTAAATTCTCCTCTTTCACATGATTCTTGTAGAGGTGTTAGAAGAGGTTTGTCGTGTTTGAGTCCGTGGTGGGAACTGTTTTACAGCATAGTTTGCACAGTACAGTACAAAGGTAGCCCCTCGTTTAGGAAGCACTTGTCTTGACTGGTCCTTCTGTGTGGAGTATTGTTTGGTATTCTCTGTGCCAGCAGTCACGCGGTGACCTTCCCAATGATTAAAAAAAAAAAAAGCCAGAAACGGTGTATTTTGCGAAACCACTAAATAAATGGTAGTGTATAATTTGAAAAACAAAAAACCCCCCAGATGTTTCCATTTCGTCATCATATATTTTGCTGTACGCACAGCCCTAAGTAGCAGTACATAGAGGAGAAATTTTTAAAACACTATATATTTTGACAATGATTGGATATTCAGGTTGATCATATAATAATAATAATAATAATAACAACAACATCATAATGTGCATTAAATAGAACAGTAAAGCATAGTGTATGTATATGAATGAGAGGGAGAGAGATAAACATTATACAACTATACGTTACATTATACAATTATACATATATACACATACATAAATTAGGGCCCTTGGTATTATTTTTTTTT